CATATTGTTATCTTCAGTTGTTGGTGGAATATATTTATAATCAGGATGTGTACCATGTAATCGTTTAGGTAAATTAGATGGATCAATAAATTCAAATAATTCTTCTTCATGTTTAAGAAAATGTATTTTATTTTGAATCACTGGATCAACCCAATGTTTAATAATAGCCCAACAACTATAAAATATTAATGGAGAATGAATAATAAGCGCAAGACCGAGTGATTCGGGATAATAACTTTCAAATAAATTGATAAAAAATTTGACTAATTGATAATCCATGTTATTCATACCAAAGCCATTCATGTCAAGAATAGCTGTACCAGTTTCAACAGATCCTTTAAGTAATTTTTGACCTGTTTCTACTGTTAAGATACCTAATTTTTCAGTTGCTTCAATAGGAAATTGATCTTTAATATGATCTTTAACATGAATATAATTTATTGGACGACCCATTTTATCATAACCCATAAAATAAGCTTTGCCACTCATTACTTCTTCTATAAGAAGTTCATTTTCACCTTTGGCTAATAATTCATCAACACCTCGTTCATGTCGCCAATTAAGAGTATCAATTAGTTGTTGAACAGCACCGTCAACATCCCATTTTCTTGCACGAAGCCATCGAAGTATAAGAACATCTGGATTATCATAACCAACTGAACGAAATAATACATCTCCTTGAGATGAACCAACAATTTCATCAATAGATATTGATGATTCTTTACTAATCCTCTCTAATAATGTTATCCAACAAGTTTTAAGAGTTTCTGTTTGTGTTTTATCAAGATTATCTAATAGAACAATAATAAATAAATCGATTTTATTTTATTTTATTTTACTTACACACATGTCCAATATCATTGTGAGTCATTTTTGTTTTTATTTATAATTATTTGATAATATGAATAAATGTAAAATAGTTATTCTAAATATTTGTAAATTTTGGAATTAATTATGTATATTTTATTAGCCAAAGAATATATCAATATTATGAATACTTACTTATAAACGATTTTGAATTATTTCTTGTTTATAGAAAAAAAATACAAATACCAACTTGTACGTTATAACGTATGAATCGATATTTTCGAGTAAAATCGTTTTCGTTCTATAATATGGTGTCTATTTCCTTTTTTTTCTATTGCATTATATAGAATAGCAAAAGAATCGTATCATGATGATGTAAATATTATTGCATATCGTTCGATTAGAACGAATAGGTCAAATAAATGAGTCAAAGTAATGTGTAATAGACGTATGCTTAGCAGTTTTGTTCTGCACTACTAGTCTATATAAATACGCAGTTACCTTTTGTGAACTATGCATACTTTGAGGATGCACTCCAGTATATTATAGTTTTTTTCTAATGAGAAAATTATTTTATGTCTGCAAAATTATTTTTTGAAGAAAATAATAAATTCTTTTGTATGTGAAATGAAAAAATTGTTTGAACTATAATTAGAATAAGAAAATAAGATTGAAGATATTCAACGAACGTTTTATATATTTTTGTATCTTTTAAGTAGAATAATTTATTGTCCAAAAAGTAATATTTTATCGCTTTTATCTATTATTATTAACAATAAAATTGTTGCGAATCATAGTTTCATACTTGAATCAAAATATTCAGAAATAGTGATGCTTTTTTAATGATCGGCTATTCATAAAAGTGTGTATCAAAATATAATTTGCAATACTTTTGTCGTTGGTAACCAAGTGTATCGTATCCAGTTCATTAAGATAAGAATAGTACAAATCTAAAAAAAAAAGAATGACTTACTTAACAATGAAATATATTCGATTTTACTATTCGTTGTCGACAGCATGTTAAAGAATGAAAACTATTATTGAACTTGACGAAAGACTCTTTGATTAATCATAGATTTGTTGAGATTCAAATCTAAAAAATATCGAAGTCTATAAATTCGAGTTCAAGGTATAGACACGTTGTATTTAACTATTAACAGATTACTGTTAAGATTGCCTACGAAACGTATAGAATGTGGTGCTTGCTGCAAAAAAAAATGACGAGAACGATGTATTGCATCCCGCGATGTGATTCATAAATACAACGAAGTAAAATTAATTTCTATTAAAAAAACACTTAATATATATTAACATCTTATTTAAAATAAAAGTCAAGATAGAAATAGAGAGATATAAACTATTCTACAATGCACTTTAATATTAATAACATAATATTTGCGGTGATGCTTTGCCTTTACATCGTTTTTTTCTTTTATATTCTTTCTTTTTTTATAAGTCTTTCCCTCTCTCTCTTTCCTTATATATACTTGTCTCATTTGTGCTACAACATGACCGGAAATATGAAGTCTTTTGATAAAAAAAACTATAACTAAGATTGAGAAAAATCGTCGTTGAGTATGTTCTGTTTAATTACTCTAGTTATTGTTGAGATACCTTTTTGAGAGCATGATTTAACTAAAATACGTAATTGGCATTGCCAAAACTATTGACAACAGTTCTACCGTTATATAATTATATATTTAGTAGAAGAGACGTTAGAAATAGACATTCAACAATGCAAATAAAAATATTGATATATTGTGTATTTTATCAGAACTGATGAAAAGTATCAATTGATAATTACAGTTTTCTTCTGTCAAACAAGATTCTTTTGCATATATTATTCAGTTCTATTTAATTATGTAATGCATTTATGTATTCGTTTACCAAGATTAATGCAATAGCTTACGGCATCTAAAATCTTTGCTATCACAAGGGAACATACAATCTTAAGAGCGTTTGGTTTCGATGAGAAATGAATGAAATATCACAACTCATTCATCTACAACTTCAATAAATCTGAAGAAATGGGTGAGAATGTGAATGAATAGTGAGATCACAGGGACCTCCATCATTATTAATGTATCAATGCATTTGCTTTTCTATCTTTTAAAGTTTTTTGAAAATTATTTTTAAGATATTATAAATTAATAATAAATTCTGGAATAGTATTAATACAAAAGTAACTGGACCTCTTTTTTTACTGAAAGCGCGTTATATAATTAAAAATATTATTTCATTAGAAATTTGGCATAAGACTATAGGTAACCGGCACTTTTACTGTAGGAACTATGATTTTCATAAATAAAAATTCGTTCAATCTTAACAATGTAAATATTTCATGTTCAAATTCAATTAAATGTGTTTATCATGCACTCTTATATGTAATTCAGTTGATAAAATCATTCATCATCCTAAACGGTTAAATGTAAAACTTGATCTCAAAAGTATCAAAGCATTAGAGGACTTCAGAAGAAAATAGATCAATATATTTATTAGGCTTGATTTCCGCTCATTGTTACTTTAAAATCTTATAATATTGAAATATTGATGATAAAATAAGATCATACTGAAGATTTCGTGTGATAGTGGGGGTAGTCTTGTTTTAATTATTCGTTGAGCTATACAATCTTTTTAGTGCTAGTATCACGAACGTCATAGTTTCAAAATTATAAGTGTATGGAATGATTTTTAGCAAAAATCAAACTGCCTTTTCAATGATATAGTAAGAAAATTAATTTCATGGCTTTTTGTGTTGATCGAACTTTCATATGTGAGTAGAACTCAAATTAACTCGTATGTTTTTCAGTGACTATACATGTAGAAAGAAACTTCAAATTATCTCGAAAATGATACACTTCATTATAATACGAGCTGAAAAATATATTTTCTTCTTTTGTCCCAATCAAAATACAAAAAAATATTGGAAGGTAAAGCAGCTAATCGTTCAAACAATGCACGAATGGTGTAGAGAACTGCTACAAACATGATTAAATAATCAAATTCGTACATTATAAAAAAACATGCAAAATTATGCTGATGACGATTGCTGTTGAAGAATTTGTTGTATTTTTGATAAATATTCGTCAACGTTTATTTTGCCATTTGCATAATCCTGAGTTACTTGGACCATTTTTATTGCATTTTTTTCTTTTTCTTAAATGAAAAAATTTTAGAAACATACCCGATCTAAAATAAAAGTAAAAGTACTTGTTCCATATTTATCTCTTTTTCAGCCATTATTTTTTTAGAATAATCAGCTTAATGAATTTGATACGTCAATATGCAACGAAAGAAATGAGTGGTCATTAGAAAAATATCTGACTTATGTATATATATCTCATATGAATAGCCGTCAATGATGCTTTGTCATGAAAAATATATGACAGCTTAGCATAACAATAGTCGACTGACCTGACTGTCAATGAATCAACTTGACTGATGATTTATTTTGCTTCTCTTTTATTATAACATGTATTCTATAATTATAATTTATTTTACCTTAGTTATATCATGTTCAGCATATTGTATTTCATTTTGATCTGTTTCCTCCAGAAGTTTAAAGTATGTGTGAGAATTAATAAAGTTATCCTGAAAAAAAAATTCAATATAATATGATATTGGTTTTTTATTATTTTAAAATAAAGTTCGAAATCTTACTTGATTATTATCATCAGTTGCAACTTTTCGAAGACCTTCAGTTATTGCTTTTTTTCCCAATGCAAATCTTTCAACACTTTTTCATATGTATCTTTGTGTGATGTTTCAAGACGAATCAACCAATTGTCTCTGTTCCTTCCGAATGCTTGAGGACAAATCAAACATTGATATTCACCTTGATCTGATATATATATAAACATTAATCAATTTCAAATAAAACTAGAAATTAGTAGATATCTTACTAGTTTCAGGTATAGTATACTTTTTGAACAAATTACGAATATGTGGTTGAACACTCATTTTATAAAAACTGTAAACTAATCTAAAAAATAAAACAGAGATGAAACAATGATCACTACAATCATGCCATTGGTTTTGATTCTTTTGGCTTTACTTCAGTTTGAAGTTATTATTGCTACCCATGTCAAAGACGTACGGTAGGACACGACCAGATTCCGTGATTTTCCTGGGCATTCCGTGGGAAAACACAGGAAATTTATAGGAAAATGGAAGCAGTATTCCGGTGATCGGATCCGGTGACGAAATCCACTCGGTTCCGTCCGGAACTGATGTCAGGAGGAAATTCCGGGCATTTTTCGGCAGGGTTCCTGACAGAAACGGTGAGTTTCCTGAGGGTTTTCACCGGAAGTTCTGGGAATACTGCTTCAGGAATCATCGTCCTGGATATATCTATTTCTAAACATGATAAACATATTTTAAAAAAAGCCAATCAGATTATGCTGAGATGGTGTGCAACATGATATTATACATAAAAACAATACGAAAAAAAACGATCACAATATCGATAGAAAAGAATCAGTTAATAACGATATATTTTGATAACCATAGGCAGAGATTGCGATTGCAAAGACGATAAGTTTTTAATAATGATTATTTGAAGATATCATTCATTTTATTGAATGTATTGACTTTAGTCGAAAGGAAAAATGTCGAATGGATAAATGTCGAATACGAAATGTCGAAAAGAAAAATGTCGAAAAGTATAAATGTCAAAAAGTAATATGTCGAAAATAAAAAATGTCGAAAAATTCGAATATGGTTTATGAATGGGTGCGGGTATGAGCGTGGGCGAAGAAGACCCTTTAATACCCACACGCACACTCACACCCACACGCACACTCACACCCATACCCTCACCCTCATCCAGACCCACACTCACACCCTCACCCTCACCCACACTCAAAATCTCATCCACACCCACACGCACACCCTGAACCTCACCCACACCCAAAACCTCACCCGCACCCACACCCACACTCACACCCTTGTTTGAATAAAATGATTAAAAACATATTTTTACCTATTGTTTGTTTCTGATAACAGTGACACTGCTAAGTTCTTATTCCTATCGTTTTTAACCTTTTCGACATTTTCCTTTTCGAC